TATATAGTACTCTGAATAAATGAAGCCTTTACTCTAAATCTATTGTGTACTATAATAAAAACTAGCAGTATAAAAACCCTACTAGAAATGTAAAGGATAGAACACCTAAACAAACACAAAGAAACCTGTACATATGTTTGTTTACATCACTATTTTGTTATTATCAATTTGTACAGAGAGTTTATGTGATATTATCTCTAATTTAGTAGGTGTATTCCCAATTTGGGTCAAGTAAACATTGCTGATTATTTTGAATATGTGAGCTGCATCACTACTTTTTTGTAAAAAAAATACTAAAAGCAAAATAATGAAGAGGAGGACTATATAATAAGAGTACCAATAGTAAAGATTTGTAGAAGTATATATTATATAGAATAGTATATCCTATGAAGTCTATACTCTTGCTATTACTTGAATATGATTTGACAAATACTTCCTTGGTTGTTGCTAAAGCTACTTTTTCAATAGTTCTGTAGACTTCTACTGGAGAGCCAAACTCACAAGGAGTAGTCTTTTTCAATTCTATTTCATATTGCCCATATGCAATCTGAAGCTCTTGAATCTAGTTGCTACTTAGTGAAGTTTTGTTGCATGAAAATATACTAACTATATAATATTCGAAAGTTGGCATTTTGTGAAAATATTGGTATGAGAGATTATCAAAAAGAGTTTGTTTAGTCTTAATTTTGTATTATATAAAATCTTTATTCATACTACTTTTAAACTAATATTTTACTATTCTATATTTTTATTTAATACAAGCTCCAGGTTCATACTCAATTCTTAAACAAAAGTATTTATTTGCAAAGAATTACTTTTCTCTTTGACTCATTAGTATATATCACGTACTTTTTCAATCAATTCATTTATAACTAAATAACAACTTTCTGCAGCTTTCTTAATTTCAGTTCTTTGAGGCCTTCTTACTTCAATTAATTCACAACTAGTATAGATATCAAACCTGGTTTCTTCAAACATTTGCTAAAATCTCAACTATATTTGATTCATTAATAATCTTGTAGAACTATGTATATACTCATGAAATATATATTGACATAGGAGCAAATATTAGCAAAAAAAAAGACAATTACAGTCAAGTGATATAAGGCCTAGTGTAGCTTTTTCCTTTTCAATTCTTCTTTCAACAGTACAAAATTTAGTAATTATTAGTTGTTGTATAGGGTATAGAAATTTATAAATTTCAACAAAAATATCATTATCAATTCTAAATACTAAAATTGTTTTAATGTAGAATTCTAAAGTAATATACTCTGAGTCTACATATTTCTTCTTGTTGAGTTCAACAACTTTATAGCATGTACCTAAAGAATAATAACAGAACAATAAATTACTAATTGTGCTAACAATTCAATGAATTTTTGTATAGTATTTAGACCTGAATTAAAATTCTTATTCAGTTTAATTAAAATTAATTCAAGTCTAACTATTATACCATTTAAGCAACTATAGTTTAGAATCAATTTTCATTCTAAGTCGAAAATATAAGTATCAATTTTGTTTTTAAAATCAATAATTCTTAGAATTATACATTATATAAACAAACATATTTTATTTTAACTTAAATAATACTTTAATTAATAGAATTTTAAAACTCACTTAATACTAGTGTTAACAATTATAACTATCCTTTCAAGAACTATACTTATGAATAACCTATCTCTGCAGTTCATGTACTATTCTTCAACCACACATAATTTATAAACTTATTAAATATTTATAAATCAAATTATAAATTAAGATAAAACAACTTATAGATAGTGCTATATAATTTAAATATAACTTACTTCTTTTAACTTATTTATTAAATTTAATGATATAGTTAATATTTTAAGCTCTACTTTATATGATGGTATATGTGACTATATGCATTTCTGTAAATTTCCTTCTTTATCATATACATTTGAAATTATTCATATTCTATCTAATCATATTACTAAATATTTATTACTAATCATTTGAATACTATCAAATTTATTAAAAAGAATTCACTTGATTACATCTTCATATTCTGTTGCTTTATATTGAAATTCTTTAAAACAATTATTAACACTTTTATTTCTACTTGTTTATCTTTAAAGATTACATGTTTGACACTAAGCTTTTGATATGTTATATCAGTTGCAATTCAGATATTTTTTAAACATTTTTTACTATGTCATAAGTTAGTTTATACACTTTAAATCTACTATTCTTTAACAATATAATTAAATCTAAATATAAATTAAAATAAAACAATATATAGTATAGATAGTATTGTATTATAATTTAAATACTTACTTCTTCTATGATCTAGTTAAATCATTAATTTAAAAGAATCTATTCTATTATATTTTTATAATATGTTTTCTATATGAATATTTATAGACATTTTAATTCTTTATTCAACTTTGAATGAAGTATCTTGACAACTATCTAAGCAAATTCAATGAATCTT